AGAAAAAGAAGCAAAATTAAAATTTGAATGACAAACTTAAAATTTGAATGTAGATATAAATATATATTTTATAATAAAAATAAAAAATAACAATTATTTTTATCTTATGAGTATTAATTATCACGAAATACGTTATATAGTAATCTAATAAAAGTTACAATAAATACTACGTTTGATGTTGAATGATTATTTCTTAATTCTTAATATTATCAATGTTGATTGTTTATGTATTTATAATCGAATCAAGTATTTGTGAAACATTAAACCTTCAAAGTTATTGTGAATTCCATACATGCCATCTAAATTTGTCTGTGAATTTATAAATGTATTTATATTTCATTATATTATATAATTATATATTAGATATTATATATAATATATTATATTGCAGTCAAAAAATTAGTATAATATATTAGTGAAAAAAAGATATTTTATGTCTTGTTAATATTCTCAATTGAGATGTACAAGATACAAAATGATCATACAATTTATTTTGGTAAATAATGATTTTTATTTAAATTAATAAAATAAAATTATTGAGTCTTAAAAAAAAGTATGTAGTTACTATAATTAATAATAGATAAGAATGTCTTAAAAATTGTGTATATAAAAATTATGAATATCGTGTTTATATATCTTTATAAATATAATGGTTATTTTAATCTCAAGTGTGTGATTCAGCGATAGGGGTGGATCCACGCTTAAACAAGGTTAAGGGTTTGAATCATGCCTTGTTCGCGTTAAATCTTGGGACCAACTATCCCACCTTTTAATGTTCCTTTAACGAGGAGATTAGTCACCGCCAATCGGCCCTGGATACTCCAGGGACAAAAATAAATATATAATGGTTATTTTAAAAGTTAAAAATACTATCACTTTAATATATAATGGTTATTTAAATGTAATAAGTATCATATTTAATATATTACAGGTAACTTTGATTGTCCAATGTACAATACTTTATAAATCACCCCTTGCGTCCTCTATAAACCCACATTCAAAATAACTTTGAGACTTGAGGCAACGTGAAGCGAAGCAAATATGAAGCTTTCTTTGATGCCCTATTTCTTGTTGGCACTTATTTTTTCAAGTATTTTCTTGAGTCGTTACGAGTTTAATTCAGATTTTGGACTCACATTGAAGTGTTATCATTGATTTTATTTGCTTGAATCTATTTTGTTTTGCAGTTATAATGGCAACAGAAACAATTGCGAACCACACATGTAGTGAAATAGTGTACCGTTCAGATAAATGTGATATTGTGAGTTGTACGAATGCTTGTGTGGAATATACAGGATTTTATACTGCTGCTGGACTATGCTACCCAGATGGATGTCACTGTGAATATGATTCTCCTCCTTCAACTTCACTTTAGTTGTACATAAATTTTACTTGTGAATGAATATCATGTCTACCAAGAAAAACACACAAAAATAGAAAAGGTTAATTAATAAAATGTTTCTATTTGTTTGAGCAAACACAATGTTATCACATGCTTCTACTATTTCTATAGTTTTTTTTTTTAATTACATTTCTTTTATGGGTTCTTTTTCCTTATTTTTGTTTTTTGCCCTCTTTTTCAATTTTTCTTTTGCCTTTTTTCCTTTGTATAATGAAAGTTGAAATTTTGTTTTTTTCGCATCCAAATTATTAATATAAAAAGAATTCATTGACTCAACACTATTAAAAGAAGAAATTGAGGGTTTTCTCCATTTTATCAACAACAAAAAATGGGAATACACACTTCTTTGCAAATAAATACATAAATAAAGTAATTGTTTTGACGTCTTTGAGCATGTTTTAAAGCCAAATCTTTTTTTTTTCAAGTATTACCGTTATGTGATTATTTAGAGATTGTGTTGAAATTTATGTCTATTTTACTATTTTAGAAATAAAGTGATACTTTTAGTTACGAAATCATGTAAAGACGATTTTTATTAACATAAATTTTAAATCACTTATACTAATAATTTTCAATAAATATTATTGTTTAAAATTATTATATTTTTCTATTATGTTATCTATTTATTATTATTTTGGTTCAATTTCGCCTCCATTTTATTTGCTAAGAACTATCGCAACTTAAAGAAAAGGAATGAAATTGATTAAAAGAAAGAAGAAAAAAGTCAACAAGGAAAGAAATTTGCGAAAGGCATAATTGAAAATAAATGTTAAATTATACTTTTAGTTTCTCTATTTTTTTATACCGTAACTTCTCTTTATTTTAAATTAGAGTTATGTAATCCTTTTATTTATAAAAGTACAAAATTTTTATCCTAAACAAATATTTGGTAGGAGAAAAGTTTTTTCATATCTAAAGTTATAAATTTTAAGAATCATAATTTCTGATGATAACTAAAATTTATTTAGTTACTCATGAAAGATTTAAGAATATTCATACAAAAATTAAAAATTTTCATGTTTAGTTATAATAATATATTCTCGAGTATATATTTTTTCACAAAAATATACTTTATTAAAATAATCTCATTAAGTATAGTTATTTACACAAATCTTATTACAAATATGACATTAAACTATTTTAAAAAATTGAAAACTTATAGTTAAAACTATTTTAATACATAATTCAACAAAAAAAATAAATAAAGAAAAATGTTACATAATAAATAAAAAGGATAAAAATATATTATTTTATTTTATTCAAATAAAAAATAAATAAATAAAAGTGTTAACGAATATCATTAAACTGTAAAAATAAACAGATAATAAGATACAAGAAAGAGATAGAGAAATTAAGATATGGGAGGGGGGGACAGGAGACGGGGAGAGGGAGAAAAATAAATAAAATGAGGAAAAGAGAGACTTTTTATTTTAAAAAAGGATATTGTGATTATATATATATA